CAGCTATGATTACTTCAGTGTAAATTACACAACCTTTCTGTCAGGAAGACCAGAAGATATGATTACTAGCTAATGGTACCCGTTAAGGAAGCAAAATGTGAACAAAGGACGATGTCAAATAATGTTCCCCTTCCTTCTTTCTTTTGTTATGAACTCCATAAGGATCTCGTTAGATGTTAATTGCGTACCCTTCTTTATGGAAAGTGATAATTATTTACCTGATTAAGTAATCGTGTCTTTAAATTCAAAGCCAGAAGTCTAGAAAAAAAAAGAGTGGAAATGTGTCCTTTTTTCCAGTGTTTTTTAATCTACTTTCTTAAGGAAAAATCCTGTTTACACCATCAGACAGTTTCCAGTTACCTTTCCAAAAATTACCGTAAATGAGCCATCCAACTTTGAGTGATGAGTACTACAAATACACATTCACATATATAATGGATCACCTTGGTAGTGACATGGTCCCTAAGCGGGAAGTTCAGTCTCCGACTAAAATAAAATATTATAAAGTAGAGTTACCTGACTACTGGATAATAAAAATTGGTGAATGGATTATCATAAATAACTATTTCAGCGCTAGAACCATCATTTTTTTATTTTTTGTCGATTGTAACAAAATATTTTCAGTACTTTACTGTGAAGGATACATGTGTGTAATAGCATCCATCACTCTGGTCTGGCTGTCTTGATTACCGTAATTTTCAATATATAACTGGAAACTGCCCGATGCTACACATTGTTTTGTTGTTGTTGATATTTTTTTGTTTGTTTGTTTTTTGCCCAAGAAGGAGGATAGAAGATAAAAAAAAACTTGAAATAATACACATTTCTAGTTCTTCTTATGCTTTTGGCTTTGAATTTTAAAAAAAATCAGTTAACTGAGACAATTATTACCTTCTGCAAATCAGGGTATGCAATTAGTGTCTAACTAGGTCATATAGATTTTGTGACGGATTTATTATTATATATTTATTTTATTATCAATGTTTGTTTAAATTAAATTTATATTTAGAAATGTACTTATACTGTTAA